AGAGAACCAGAGGTCCTTGAGGTCTTTAGAAGAAGAGGACCAGGAGACATTGAAGCCTCTAGAAAAAGAGAACCAGAGGTCTCTAGAAGAAGAAGACGACCAGGAGACAATGAGGCCTCTAGAAAAAGAGAGCCAGGAGCCAGTGGAGTCTTCAGAAGAAGACCAGGCAACACCGAAACTTCTAGAAAAGGTGAAACTAGAACCACTAAAGTCTCTTGGAAAAGACCAGGAGATATTTCGACCTCTTGAAAAAGAGAATCAACAGTTATTAAGATTCCTAGAAGAAGAGAGTGCAGAGGTGATGAGATCTCCGGAAACAGAGAATTTAGAATCGCTCCAGTCAGCAAGAGAAGACTTGGGAATATTGCAGTCTCTAGGAACTCTAGAGCCCCTGTGGTCTCCAGGAGAAGTGAATCAGGAGACAATGAAGCCTCTAGAAAGGGGAAGTCAAGAACCACTGGAGTCGGTAGAAGAGAACCAGGAGACATTGAGGCTCCTAGAACAGGAGAACCAGGAGTCCCGGAGATCTCCAGGAGAGTGGGGCCTAGAAAATTCGAGACCTCCAGAGGGGAGAGGTCAGGAAAGTCAAAGGTGCCTGATGGAGGAAGAGACCCCGGAGCAGAGGAGGAATCAGGAGTCCCCGGGGTCTTTGAAAGAGGAAAGGCAGGAGTCCCCGCTGTCTGCCCGACACCAGGGGAGGGAAGAGAGAGTGGCAGACCAGGAACTGGACCAGGAAACGCCCCCCGGCGGGGCCGCAGGGGGCAAGGAGGCCGAGGCAGAGCTGGACGTGAGGGAGTGGGGTGGCCTCCCCGGGAAGTCCGCGGGGCATGGAGAACTGCAGCTGGCTGCCGCAAGGGAGGTCTGGAGCGCAGGGGAGGGGCGCCCAGGGGGCCCTGAGCCCGAGGAGCAGAGGGTCCCGGTTGAGGGAGCCAGTGGGGAGGGAGGCCCCGAGGGCTTCCAGGACCCTGAAGGGCAGCCAGAGCAAGCGGGGGGCCCGGGCCTCCGAGCTCCCCAGGGAATGTCGGAGGGGAGAGACCTGGTGTTGGAAGGTGGAGAGGAGGCCCCAAGGGGTGGCCAGGTCTCAGAGGTCGCCTCGACGGCTGTGGGTGAGGCTGCTTCGGGCAGCCAGCAGGGACCAGAGCGGGAGGTGGTGGTGCCACCCGTGGGTGAGGAAGGTTTGGAGGCAGAGAAGAGGCAGGGCTTGGAAGAACCCCAAAAGGACGCAGAGGAGGCAGCTGCTCTGAAACCAGAGCTTTCCAGCCCAGCAGGGAGGAGCACAGACCTCCCGGAGCCTCCCAGGGGCTGGGAGGAGTCGGAGCCCGAGGCCCCCTGGGGGGCGGAGGGGGCGTTCCCTGCCGAGACCCTGTGCCGCACTCTCGGCGGAAGTGGTACCCCTCAGCCCGGGCCCCAGGGGCCCGAGGACGCAGGGGAAGAAGCAGTGTTAGAGCCAGCGTCGCCGCCCAAGCCATCAGAGCCCCGGTCGCCCACCCCAATCCCTGGAGATGCCCCTGGGCCCCAGCCCCTGGCCGCGGGGAGCCAGGAGGCTGGCTGGGGGCTGGAGGGCCGAGCGGAGGCTCTGGGAGGGGTGGAGGGGGAGCCAGAGGAGCTGGGTTCTGAGGGGAGCCCCGAGGATCTCCAGGAGGAGGGGGAGGAGAACCGAGAGGACAGCGAGGCTGATGAGCTTGGGGAGACTCTTCCTGACTCCACTCCCCTGGGCCTCTATCTCAGGTCCCCCGCCTCCCCCAAGTGGGACCTGCTTGGGGAGCAGAGGCCCCCCCCTCAAGGGGAGACCAGAAAGGAAGGCTGGGATCCTTCTGTGCTGGCCTCTGAAGAGTGTGGGGCCCAGCCAGGGGAAGAGGAGGAGGGGGAGGAGGAGGGGGAGGAGGGGAGGAGGGAGGAGGAATGCGGTCAGGACTCTGACTTGTCGGAGGAATTTGAGGATCTGGAGGCTGAGGGTTCTCTCCTTCCTGGGGTCCCCGGGGAGGCTGTGGAGCCTCCAGGCCAGAGGCCTCAGATGCTGCTGGAGCCTGCAGCCTGGGAAGGGGATGGGGAGTCTGATGGGTTTGCAGATGAGGAAGAGAGTGGGGAGGAGGGCGAGGAAGACAGAGAGGAAGAAGAGGGGAGGGAGCCAGGGGCTGGCCTGTGGGGCCCAGGGCCCTCTGTCAGCACCCTCCGCGCTCTGAGTGGCCCTCAGGGAGGGACCCTCCCGGGCTCTGAGACCGTGGATGTCAGCGTTCCCTGGGACGACAGCTCGCGAGGCATAACAGCCGATGCCGGTGAGGAGTCCCGGGACAGCACCGAGCCCGAGCCCTCGGGCTCAGAGGAAGAGTCTGACCCTGCTCCCTTGGAGAGGGAGGACCCAGTCCCTGGCCCTCTGGAGAGCCACTGTGGGATGGGAGACACGGGCCTGGGGGTAGGGGACACCCTTGGGGTCAATGGTCGGGTCCCCAGCTTGAAGGAGGAGTTAGAGCATGTGAATGGGGGGGTGGTAAATGGGCTGGAGCAGTCAGAGGGAGGAGGGCAGGGAGAACCAGGGGGCCCCGAGGGGGACCAAAGGAGCCCCTTGGAGGACGAGGAGGAGGGGGGTGCCCTGAGGACTCCTTGGGCAGGACCTTCTCTTCACCTGGGCCCAGGCCAGTTCCTGAAGTTCGGTCAGAGGGAAGGCGACGTGGAGTCTTGGTCCTCGGGCGAGGACTAGAGCGAGACCCGTCTCCCCTCACTGAGGACTTGGTGGGGTGGGGGTGGGGGCCCCGAGCGCCCTCCCTGCTCAGGGGCAGCACCCTTAAGTTATGATCTCTTGACCTGTGGTTTCTGTCCCGGAGGCCTGACTGGCCAGGGCGGAACAAGGGCACAAGGAGATGCCCCAAGAACAGAGGCCCCCAGACCCTGCGAAGGGGCCGCCCCGCCGGCACTGTCCCTCGAGGCTCAAGCCAGCTGAACCGTGTAGGACTAGGCCCTTTCCTGACGCCCCCTTTCTCCCCCTCCTGCCAGCGGGGGAGGGCTCCTCCCAGGAGAGGGGGCTGTGGCACCCTTCACCGTGATGTGCCCCCTCACCGCGCCTTCTTGGGGTGCCTGGCCACCCGTGAGGGGGTGTTCCCACGTCCTGACCCCCTGTGTTCCTGCCCCCTCGTGTCCGGCTCATCCCCGCCTGAATAAAGTCATGCTTCCACCTACCAAGTCTGGACGCCTCCTTCCCTAATTTGGGGGGGTCCGCAGGGCGGGCAGAGGAGGCCCGAGTGACTGGGGGAGGAAGCAGGGAGTGCTAGTGCCGGGCCCGGCCACCCTCTGAGGACAGGAGGAGCTGGATGACCTCGTGGGACCAGGGGACGGCCGGGCGGCAGTCCGGGTGACCCCAGGGCTGGCAGAAGCCAGGCCCATCATCATCTCTACCCACAGCGCTGATGACAGGGGATTAGGCCCAGGGCCGCCCCACCTTGTGCACCCCCCACCCCCACCCCGGCCCCTCGGTGCCGCCAGTATAATGAGCCCCTTGCGTCCAAACCCAAACAGTTGTCTGGCCTGTGATGTCTCCTCCGAGTGGCCGGGTCAGAGCAGGATGGGGGAACAGGAGGCCCGCTCTGCCTCAGTCTGGCTGCGTGGCCTCTGGCCAGTGTTTGGCCTCTCTGAGCCTCAGATTCAGCCACACGGTGAGGGGCGCTGGGCTGGGGGGCAGGAGGAGGCTGGGGGGAGCGGGAGCCGCGGGTTAGATGTTCCCCGGGACTTGCCTCTTGAAGAGCGATGCTGATGTGAGGGAGGGGTAGGCCAGCAGGTGCAAAGGACCCAGGGGGCTATGCTGTCAGCTGGGGTTTGGCCTGGGGTCCCCCCCACCCCCAGCCATAGCTTCTCCCTGCCCCCATCTCTCTTCCCGGGAGTCCTCTGGGTCCCTGTGTGGGGCAGAGGGAGACGAGGGGTTCCTGGATGAGATGGGGCCCTGGAGCCTGGATGCTCAGATAGACAGCAGGCCCGGCCCAGGCCGTCCCTCTAAGTGTCCCCGGTGGGGGCGGGGGTGGGGCTGCCCAACAAGGGTTCCACATTTGGAGGCAAGCCCAGGTCCCGGAGCGGGGTCTTCCCCTCCCCAGGTCCAAGGCCAAGGGCAGGGGGACAATGAGAGGGGAAGTCCCAGCCCCGCTGGCCCCCACTCAGGACCTCTGGCCAAGGAGGGGTGGACAGGAGGCGCCCTGATAGAATTGTACTGTCTGCTTCTCTGCACACGCCTTTCTCTTTCTCCGCTTGGGAGTCTCTGTCTCGGGGCCCCAGGCCCCCATGTCACACACACCCCTGCCCGTGGGTTCAGGATCTTGGGTGTCCCCACCCTTCTGGCCAAGCCCCCTCTCTCCTTCCTGTACCCACTGCTGACAAGGCCTTGTCTGACCCTGCCGGGCATCCAGGCCAGTAAGGCCGACTCCCTGCCCCTCCGAAGGGGACAGAGGAGCCCTGTGCTTGATTTCCCCAGGCCCTCAGGCACCACCGCCTGGGCGAGGGGCCAAGGACAGAGGCCACGCCAAACAGTCCTTCCCTGTCCCCGGTGCCCATCCTGCCTGCTGACACTGGGATCCCTGGTCCCCAACAGAGCTACCCACACGGTCCTAAATGGGGGTGGGAGTGGGGAAGGATGCGAGTTAGAAGTGAGGACCTTCCTGAAGGGGATACGGGGGTACGTAGCGGGAGGCATGTTCTCTTCGGAAATGGCACTTGTGTCTATGCAGCAGACAAACGAGGGTTAGACAGTAGGAGGGACACTCCTGGTGGGGATAACAGCTGTGAGTGTCACTTTTCGATAAATATTTGCTGAGCATCTACGTGCTGTGCCCCACGCAGATCCTGGGAACCCAGGGTTCCTCGCTCCCTTCTAATTGGACGAGGGCTTCTGAGTGGAAGTCATGTTTGAAAACACGATTAGGAGGCTGTGGGAGCACAGAGCAGGGGACCTCACCTGATCTGGGCTGAGGGAGTATGGGGACAGGTGGAGGGGGAAGCCTGCCCCAAGAACCTGAAGCTGGCCAGTGGGGGGAGGACGTGGAGGAGGAGGAGGAGGAGGAGGAGGATGGAAAGGATCTTAGAGGGAACAGCATGTGCAAAATCCTGGGGCAAGATGACAGAGTCTGGGCATGAGGAGCAGAAGGAAGGTGTGTGTGGCTGGAGGTGGAGAATGAGGGGGAAGAAGGCTCACAGTGAGACTAAAGAGTCTGAGTCACTGGGCCCAGGACTCACCAGGCGGCCAGGAAGTACACGCTTCTTCCTGGGGGAACGAGGAGACTCTGAAGGGCTTGGGGTCATCAGGTTGGGCATGACCAGGTTTGCATTTTCAAATGCTGCTGATGGGTGGATAGGAGGGTGCAGGAGTGCTCCAGGGAGACTGCTGCAGTGGTCTGGGAGGGGCACTGGTGGCGGTGGGCACGACGAGGGTGTACAAAGGGAAGCAGGTGACCTGATGTGGGGGATGGGGGCTGATGTGGCCGCAGAGGCTCCCAGGGTTTTGGCTTGGGCAGCAGGAGAGGGCCGTGCCATCTTCTGAGCTGGAGCATCCGGCAGGAAGTTGCGACCTCCAGCACAGAGGGCCAGGGTGGAGACAAGAGCTAGAGGGTGGTTGGCCTAGAGGTCACCTGGAGAGAGCCCGGGACGGAGTCCCCAGGTACCTCCCCGCAGAGAGGACATACTTGTGCAGGGCCTGCTGGAGAGGCCAGGCAGTAGGAGGACCCCGTCATCTCAGCTCCAAGAAAGCACCACTTTGGGCAACACAGTGCCTCTGGGGGCCCTTGAGATGGAGGGATGGATGGATGGACGGATGGACGGACAGATGGATGGATGAGGGAAGGAACAGGCTAAGGGCTGTGATGGAGTCAGGCCTCGGAAGCACTTTGGAGGGTGGAGTCCCCAGAGAAGGGAATGATCAGGCAGCACCCCCCCCCCCGCCACCCCCCCTCCCAACAGAGGACAAGTGGGAGGTTATTCTGGGGCCTCCACTGGGTAAATATAGCCTCTGAACTGGGTGGGGGTGGGGTGGGGGGCCGGAGGTGGCTTCCTCGGTTTGTTTGGGGCACTTCCTTATAAGGCTGTGCCGGCTGAGGCGCCAGAGGGTGAGGTCAGGGGCTGAGCTCTCCATTCAGCCAGGCTGATGCTGTCCCTGTCGCTGCCACGGGCCCCACTGCCCGCCACCCGCCGGGGTCTCAGAGGAAATCAAAGGCCTGGGCTCTGGGCTCCGGCCCAGGGAGCTCAGACGGGGCCTCTCAAAGGGCCCCGCGGCCTTCCTGCCTGCTGCGCGAGCCCAGTGCAGGGACGCGGAGGGTGGCCGTCCGGGGTCCCCTGAGAAGGTGGTCCTGGGTTTCCCCTCAGTGCAGCACTTGCTGTGGCTCCCAGAGTCTCACCCGTATTCCTCCCGCTGCAGGCTGCCCCTCTTCCTCAGGCCTCTTACAATCACTCAGATTCACTCACTGCTTCCAAAGGCCCTGGCCCTGAAGCCCCCCCCAGTCCCCCTCTCAGCCCCTCTTTGGGGACCAGCTGCTGCCACTTGACCCTGTGGTGTCTCAGCTGCCGTCTGCTCTGCTGTCCTTGGCAGCCAGGGAAGGAGGAATGCGGTTTAATTTCAGCTGGAATGTGCCCTCTGGGCCGCCCGCCGGCGGGGGAGGGGACGGGGACCGGGCCCACCCAAGCCCAAGAAACCCAAGAGGATTCTGGACGGGGGGACAGGCTCCTGGGTCCCCACCGGGCCCACCCCCACCCTGCAAGGGAGGCTCCGGTCCAGGACGCATCCTACAGCAGGCTGAGTGTTTTTCGAAGCTGGGGCAGGAGATGCTCTTTGTGAACGTGGTGAGTGCTGACACACAGGACCCAGGTGCCACCCCTGAGTCCGCAGGTGTTCAGGAAAGACAAAGAGGGAGCCTCAGGGGGCTGATGCCGCCGGCTCAGGGACAGAAGAGGGACCGAAGTGAGGGCCTGAGGCCAGGGCCCACGGAGTCTGCGGTGGGAAGCAGGGGGAAACACGGAACTGTTTCCTCTGCACAGGGGCCCTTTCCCTCCCCTCCCCAACCTAGCACCCCACACCCCGATCAGACTCGTGTCTTCTCCCACATTCCAGAAGCAGCTTATTTTGGCTCCTGCTCCCCCACGCCTTCCCCAGGCCCCATTATTCCAGGGTCCCCTCTGGTAACCTAACCACAGGGATGGAGCCCAGACCCCAGGGACCCAGGTCCTGGAACCCTCTTGTCCCCTGCAGTCTTCTGTCCCAGTGTCACAAGGTCCCCTCCTCCAGCCCCGTCCACCCTGCCCACCCCCATGACTCAGCTGTGGCTCCAGAAATAAACGGAGGCACATGCCAGGGGGCCACCGTCGGGGAACCACCTCCCAGCAGCTGTGGGCTCAGCCGCTGACAAGCCAGTGCCCCAGGGTCCGGGGAAAAGTGGCCAGAGGGCTTGGGGGGGGGGGAGGTGCCCCACCAGCTCCAGCCCTCGGTCAGCCTCCCTCACCGCTCACAAGCCCACCCTTCCCCCTGCCCTCCCTTCCTCTGTCCTATCCTCTACCTGCCCTTCCCCCTTCTCCCCGGCCCCTCCACAACTCCTGAATCCCTTGGTTTCTCCCAGGATCCCTCCTTTTCTAGTCACCCCACATGTCACAGAGAACGTCAGCTCGCCTTGATGGGGAAACTGAGGCACGGAGAAACGTCCCCTGCCAAAGCTACTAAGAGTCCCTAGATGCCTCTCG